AGCTTGTGTTTGGGCGTTTGTTCGTTTTGCACTCGTTTGTCTACTCATTTCTCTGCCGTTCATTCAGTTGTTATATTGTTTGTGCATGGGACATCCGTCTCTTATTTAACAAGTTCCTATTAAAGTTTCGAAATGTATTAAAACGCCGAGAGCCGAAGTTCCTCCCACAGCCGAAGACACTCCCACAGCGTTGGATGAAACGAAACGAAACGAAACGAAACATAGACAGATCCTCCACGAAAACATCCACGCAACGCGCGAGTAACATCCATGGAAGAACTGGGTACAATGTCTAAAAATAACTTAAGAGGGATTACCTTGGGTAGGAGGCCTATATGGGGATTCACTCTCTTACCTTGATAATCTCTTGATTATGCGTAACTCTGTATTTCATTCACCCTTACAGCTGAGACACTGATAATGAAAAAAGAAGTGTGTCTTATCTTCGATATTCAAAGCATGCTATTTAAAGATTTAGTTACACCTGTCGAATTCCAATTTTTTTTGGTTATTTTCAAGCCTTAGTCATTTGCTCTCTTATATTAAGAAAACGTGTATTCGTCCTCAAGAGTGTAACAAAATGTAAGGTTTTGGAATTCTGAAGGGCATGTTGCTTGTAAGAGCGATACATTTTTGTTTTTATCAGAAATTAAAATTTGGTTCATAATAGTAATTGAACTGAGTGGAGTCTAATTACCACTTTATTACATCCATTTTGAAATCACACAATTCAATCGGTACAAATGTTTCATTGGTCCGTGCAGTAGACGGTTTGTTAAAAAAGAAGAACCAGAAATGCTTCTACATTTCATTTCGTATGCAAAACAGAAAAAGAGTCGATTTACAGCAAAAAATTGGTCTTTTTTGTTACCATGGGAAGGGATTGAGGGATCAAGATAAATTAAAAGGGAAGCTTGTAGAGAATTTAGCGAAGCCAAACAACAGATTTTTAGGATCAAAAGTGGAAAACACTGAAACAGATGGCAAGACTAAAAAAAAGTAGTGGGAGAGTGGTGTGTTCAAGTTTAACCGGCGAATAGTTATCATGTTACAAGACTCATAACAAGAAATATCACAGAATTGTCGCATCAACGTTTATTCTAACCATTAACATATATGGTTGAAGCTTTGATTCCCTTATATTGGCCCGTCATGGTAGCTTAATGTTCTTTTAGCTCACGTTACGGGTACAAAGACGACTTAGAAATTTTCTCTATCGTTACTCAGTTTGTTTGATAGCCCTACACGCTACAGGGCCTTTGCTTATTGTTCAGCTGAAGTTTGTTTCTATCGCACCATCACCCAGATTGGTTTGTTCAGATAACAGTAGCCCGCGATACACTTGGTGCCAACCGCCTTGCTGTCGTCGGCAGTGACGTAGTTGTTTGAGCTCTCACCACCATTCCACATGTCAAGCCACTTGTCAGTGCCACCGTACCATTCCGAAATCCCAAGGTCTGTATAAAAGTTCCATCTAGATATAGTGGCAAAACCTACTGAGGGATTTCTCTTGTTGTGATCTGCTGGGCTGTACTTGTAAAACCCGTACACGGTTCTAATCAACCGAAGATATGTCCCCATTAAGAACTTTTCGAACTCCTTTTTCGCGTTTTGTGGTGCGCCTGCCTTCCTGTTGTAAATAACCCGGATGGTATTGATGTCAGCAAATCGGAACATAACTTCTTCCCAGTCTCCCATGTCAGGGTGGATATGACTCGCGGCATCTGCGTTCGTAGTTTTGGCAGCCAATGTTGAAAATGCAGTTTTGATGAAGGGGAAGCTTGGGGAGACTTTTGTAGCGACTAGAGTCCAACCCCCACCCTCAGTTTCCATGTCGCATAAAGCTTGGAACGAGTCATCTGTTGAGGCACCATTTGGATCAATCCAGTAGAGTCCGCTACCATGACTATGACCTAAAGGGAAAGGAAATTTTGATTACAGAAAAAAAAAAAAACGAGAAAGAACTTATTAAGAACAGTACACTTTATCTATTTATTTCCCTTATGAAATTTACCTGAATTTAAAATATCCAGACAGTGGCGTCCTGGGTTACTAGCCACGTGGCCTGTCCTTGCAGTCACCAAGGGCAACCATGCGCTTCCATCACATAGTTCCAAGGCCTTCTGGGAAGTATTGTAACGAACGGTGCCAGCAGTATGCAGAGTACAGTTGTCAGCAGTCTCAGTGAACTGCATTGTACCATTTGTGGATTTTGCTGACGAGCCGGGTTCGCCTTTTTGGCCCTGAAAAACAGCAGCAAAAACACGAAAAAAAAGAGTTATTTCTCAATAAAATCTCACGTGAATTATATCATTTTGTTGAATTTGCCGAATCTTTTAGAAAAAGTGAAGGAAAGTGATTTCCATTTAGAGGAGGGAGATAGCTTTTGATACAAAGACAATCTTTCTTTTGCATATTGCTAGGGTAAACTGTCTCTACATACTATAAAAATGGCTTCATGTAAGAGTAAATCAATTGGTCTCACACAAGGATATACTGTCAATGTTCCTTGTGATTTATAATTGTAAAATTTTACTTGGTCTTGTCTCACTTTTCACGAACTTAAAGTGCTTTACTCTTTGTCATGCCATCGTAAACCAACAGTGACCGAAATTATTTCATGCAATATGAATAAGACTACATTAAAAATTTGACAAAACGACTTCAACATGGTAATAGGAGATTCACCCACCTTTGTACCGTTTTTTCCGTCATTTCCACGAAGTCCATGCTCACCTTTGTCGCCCTAATAGAGAGAAGTAATCAATCAAAATCCGAAACTATGTTATAAAATATATCTTGAAATTTTCAGTCGAGAAAAAACAGCTTCTGGTTAAATATCAACAAATTTACACACCTTTGTGCCATTTAATCCACTTTTTCCTTGTTCACCCTTCTTGCCCTAATAAAGAGAAGAATTATATTAAAAACCGAAACTATCTTTTAAAATATCAAGTTAAGTGGAACTTTAAGTAAAAAAAGAGCTCTTGGAGGAATAACAACAAATCAACACACCTTTGCACCATTTATTCCATTATTTCCATGTTCACCTTTGTCGCCCTAATAAAGACAAGAAATCGATTAAAAACCGAAACCATGTTATGAAATATCAAATGGAATTTTGAATACAAAAGAGCTTCTTGTGAAAAGTAACAAATTTCCTCACCTTTGTGCAATTTATACATCCGTTTACTTGTTCACCTGTCTCCCCCTAATATATAAAGAGAAGTAATAAATCAAATGGAAGTTTGAGTGAGAAAGAGTTCCCGGTGACATAACAATTTATATTCAACGCACATTTGTACCATTTATTCCATTATTTCCTTGTTCACCTTTCTCCCTCCAATAAAGGTAACTAATCATTAAAAAACGGAAACTACCTTGACTTGTGAAATATCAAGTACAATTTTAAGAACAAAAGAGCTGTGGGTGAAATATCAACAACTTTATGCACCTTTGGACCATTTATTCCGTTATTTCCATGACAAATTCCTTGTTCGCCTTTCTCTCCCTAAAATGAACAAAAATTGCTCCATAACTAAATTGATTTCTGCAGATTTCTTGAAGGAATTCTACCTAAAAACCTTACCTTACCAGATAATGGTTAGAATTATCATGTTAACGAGAAGTGAAAAAAAAAAATCAAAAGTTTTCAAAAATTATTGAAAAGCGGGATTTTTTTTTCACAAACCTTCACTCCGTTTCTTCCGTCGCGTCCGTCACGGCCATCTTTTCCTAGAATTAGAAAATACAAAAGCGATGTTCTTCAGCTCTGTTTTTAATTTTGTGAACTTACCGGGTAAGACTGAAATTTTCTGTTGCTTTGGACGAGCCTCACTGTCCGACCAGTTCAAAAACGTTTCACAGTAAATATCGGTGAACAATTTTGCGACCTCTAGAAAAACGTTTTCTCTTCCTTTCGACAGTTTCTGGTATTCTTCCTTTGAGTAGAGTGAATCTGAACTGATAAATAGCTGTTTCTTACCATTTTGTCCATCCCTACCGTCTCTACCTAAAAATGAAGAACGACAAAAGCAAAATTAGTCCGGAAATGCAGTGAGAGCTAAGCCATGGTACCTACTTATAAAAGCATTATTTATTTATTTTCTGTTTTCACCGTCACGAGCGCAGCACTCTTTCGAGGACGACTGTCTACACGGGTTTTGCTGTGTTCCGTTTGAAGACACCTAAAAAAACATACCAAAACATTAACATCGAGAAATGGTGCAAAAACAAAGTTGGACTACAACCTGCGTGGAAATGTTCAATTGAGCGAATTGCGGGCAAATAGTTTACAGTTGTGAGAGCAATTCATTCACGGGCAGAATATTTGCCTTCAACGTTTAACTTGCCTTGTTTGTCGAGTTGTTTTGACTACTTGCAAAAGAACGCAAGGTGAACACTAAAACGAGCAAAGTAAGAGAGCGAAACATTTTAACTTCCTCTCTCTCGACAAGTTCCCCGACAGTAAATGAGCTAGTCGATAAATGAATTTTTTTTTTTTTATTCATAAGTATTGTTTACTCTATTGCAAAACGGGAAAAAACGGCATGAGCAAATAGCTAGACGTGCTTTTATTATGATAATTTAGTTGGCAATTTGTTTCAGCGTGAATCGATCATCAAAGTTTTTCATTCTTTGAAATTGCCATTCTTTTGAAATCTATTCNAGCTTGTGTTTGGGCGTTTGTTCGTTTTGCACTCGTTTGTCTACTCATTTCTCTGCCGTTCATTCAGTTGTTATATTGTTTGTGCATGGGACATCCGTCTCTTATTTAACAAGTTCCTATTAAAGTTTCGAAATGTATTAAAACGCCGAGAGCCGAAGTTCCTCCCACAGCCGAAGACACTCCCACAGCGTTGGATGAAACGAAACGAAACGAAACGAAACATAGACAGATCCTCCACGAAAACATCCACGCAACGCGCGAGTAACATCCATGGAAGAACTGGGTACAATGTCTAAAAATAACTTAAGAGGGATTACCTTGGGTAGGAGGCCTATATGGGGATTCACTCTCTTACCTTGATAATCTCTTGATTATGCGTAACTCTGTATTTCATTCACCCTTACAGCTGAGACACTGATAATGAAAAAAGAAGTGTGTCTTATCTTCGATATTCAAAGCATGCTATTTAAAGATTTAGTTACACCTGTCGAATTCCAATTTTTTTTGGTTATTTTCAAGCCTTAGTCATTTGCTCTCTTATATTAAGAAAACGTGTATTCGTCCTCAAGAGTGTAACAAAATGTAAGGTTTTGGAATTCTGAAGGGCATGTTGCTTGTAAGAGCGATACATTTTTGTTTTTATCAGAAATTAAAATTTGGTTCATAATAGTAATTGAACTGAGTGGAGTCTAATTACCACTTTATTACATCCATTTTGAAATCACACAATTCAATCGGTACAAATGTTTCATTGGTCCGTGCAGTAGACGGTTTGTTAAAAAAGAAGAACCAGAAATGCTTCTACATTTCATTTCGTATGCAAAACAGAAAAAGAGTCGATTTACAGCAAAAAAATAGTGCAATTCGTGAGTAAATCGCACTACTGAGATTGCACGACTTGCAAGGATCACCGGTGATTTTCAAAATGGATGTAATAAGTTAAAAGACTGCACATAAGTTTTGGAAGGTCACAACTAGACGAGATGGAAACTGTGACAAAACACACGACCCCGAGTTAACCTGATGTCGCTGACTTATCCCTGGATATCTCCCTACAATGCATTTGTAGACCGCGAGGGATGATGGGTAGAAGCGTTTTGCAAATTTTACACAAGAGAAGACTGGAGACGAGTCAGATGATGATGTACGAAAGATGAAAGAACCTGTTACAAACTGATATCAATTCAAACAAGCAAAGGCTTCATTGTTTTCAAGAACTTTAGAGTAGGTATGATAGAGCTGGTTGGGGGCTTTTCTCAGCGAACTAAAAACATTTAATCCAGATCGCTTAACGTTTATTTCGGTTTTTGAAACTAACCAAGAGACCATGAAATCAGTCTTTTGAAATAATCCATCTCTTTAACGGCTAACAGTAAAAGCAAACGTGGAGAGAGGAAAATTCTAAAAATATGTATGCGCCTCCAAAATATCGCTCATAATTGTTGTTTTTTAATGGTCTTTTTTGTTACCATGGGAAGGGATTGAGGGATCAAGATAAATTAAAAGGGAAGCTTGTAGAGAATTTAGCGAAGCCAAACAACAGATTTTTAGGATCAAAAGTGGAAAACACTGAAACAGATGGCAAGACTAAAAAAAAGTAGTGGGAGAGTGGTGTGTTCAAGTTTAACCGGCGAATAGTTATCATGTTACAAGACTCATAACAAGAAATATCACAGAATTGTCGCATCAACGTTTATTCTAACCATTAACATATATGGTTGAAGCTTTGATTCCCTTATATTGGCCCGTCATGGTAGCTTAATGTTCTTTTAGCTCACGTTACGGGTACAAAGACGACTTAGAAATTTTCTCTATCGTTACTCAGTTTGTTTGATAGCCCTACACGCTACAGGGCCTTTGCTTATTGTTCAGCTGAAGTTTGTTTCTATCGCACCATCACCCAGATTGGTTTGTTCAGATAACAGTAGCCCGCGATACACTTGGTGCCAACCGCCTTGCTGTCGTCGGCAGTGACGTAGTTGTTTGAGCTCTCACCACCATTCCACATGTCAAGCCACTTGTCAGTGCCACCGTACCATTCCGAAATCCCAAGGTCTGTATAAAAGTGCCATCTAGATATAGTGGCAAAACCTACTGAGGGATTTCTCTTGTTGTGATCTGCTGGGCTGTACTTGTAAAACCCGTACACGGTTCTAATCAACCGAAGATATGTCCCCATTAAGAACTTTTCGAACTCCTTTTTCGCGTTTTGTGGTGCGCCTGCCTTCCTGTTGTAAATAACCCGGATGGTATTGATGTCAGCAAATCGGAACATAACTTCTTCCCAGTCTCCCATGTCAGGGTGGATATGACTCGCGGCATCTGCGTTCGTAGTTTTGGCAGCCAATGTTGAAAATGCAGTTTTGATGAAGGGGAAGCTTGGGGAGACTTTTGTAGCGACTAGAGTCCAACCCCCACCCTCAGTTTCCATGTCGCATAAAGCTTGGAACGAGTCATCTGTTGAGGCACCATTTGGATCAATCCAGTAGAGTCCGCTACCATGACTATGACCTAAAGGGAAAGGAAATTTTGATTACAGAAAAAAAAAAAAACGAGAAAGAACTTATTAAGAACAGTACACTTTATCTATTTATTTCCCTTATGAAATTTACCTGAATTTAAAATATCCAGACAGTGGCGTCCTGGGTTACTAGCCACGTGGCCTGTCCTTGCAGTCACCAAGGGCAACCATGCGCTTCCATCACATAGTTCCAAGGCCTTCTGGGAAGTATTGTAACGAACGGTGCCAGCAGTATGCAGAGTACAGTTGTCAGCAGTCTCAGTGAACTGCATTGTACCATTTGTGGATTTTGCTGACGAGCCGGGTTCGCCTTTTTGGCCCTGAAAAACAGCAGCAAAAACACGAAAAAAAAGAGTTATTTCTCAATAAAATCTCACGTGAATTATATCATTTTGTTGAATTTGCCGAATCTTTTAGAAAAAGTGAAGGAAAGTGATTTCCATTTAGAGGAGGGAGATAGCTTTTGATACAAAGACAATCTTTCTTTTGCATATTGCTAGGGTAAACTGTCTCTACATACTATAAAAATGGCTTCATGTAAGAGTAAATCAATTGGTCTCACACAAGGATATACTGTCAATGTTCCTTGTGATTTATAATTGTAAAATTTTACTTGGTCTTGTCTCACTTTTCACGAACTTAAAGTGCTTTACTCTTTGTCATGCCATCGTAAACCAACAGTGACCGAAATTATTTCATGCAATATGAATAAGACTACATTAAAAATTTGACAAAACGACTTCAACATGGTAATAGGAGATTCACCCACCTTTGTACCGTTTTTTCCGTCATTTCCACGAAGTCCATGCTCACCTTTGTCGCCCTAATAGAGAGAAGTAATCAATCAAAATCCGAAACTATGTTATAAAATATATCTTGAAATTTTCAGTCGAGAAAAAACAGCTTCTGGTTAAATATCAACAAATTTACACACCTTTGTGCCATTTAATCCACTTTTTCCTTGTTCACCCTTCTTGCCCTAATAAAGAGAAGAATTATATTAAAAACCGAAACTATCTTTTAAAATATCAAGTTAAGTGGAACTTTAAGTAAAAAAAGAGCTCTTGGAGGAATAACAACAAATCAACACACCTTTGCACCATTTATTCCATTATTTCCATGTTCACCTTTGTCGCCCTAATAAAGACAAGAAATCGATTAAAAACCGAAACCATGTTATGAAATATCAAATGGAATTTTGAATACAAAAGAGCTTCTTGTGAAAAGTAACAAATTTCCTCACCTTTGTGCAATTTATACATCCGTTTACTTGTTCACCTGTCTCCCCCTAATATATAAAGAGAAGTAATAAATCAAATGGAAGTTTGAGTGAGAAAGAGTTCCCGGTGACATAACAATTTATATTCAACGCACATTTGTACCATTTATTCCATTATTTCCTTGTTCACCTTTCTCCCTCCAATAAAGGTAACTAATCATTAAAAAACGGAAACTACCTTGACTTGTGAAATATCAAGTACAATTTTAAGAACAAAAGAGCTGTGGGTGAAATATCAACAACTTTATGCACCTTTGGACCATTTATTCCGTTATTTCCATGACAAATTCCTTGTTCGCCTTTCTCTCCCTAAAATGAACAAAAATTGCTCCATAACTAAATTGATTTCTGCAGATTTCTTGAAGGAATTCTACCTAAAAACCTTACCTTACCAGATAATGGTTAGAATTATCATGTTAACGAGAAGTGAAAAAAAAAAATCAAAAGTTTTCAAAAATTATTGAAAAGCGGGATTTTTTTTTCACAAACCTTCACTCCGTTTCTTCCGTCGCGTCCGTCACGGCCATCTTTTCCTAGAATTAGAAAATACAAAAGCGATGTTCTTCAGCTCTGTTTTTAATTTTGTGAACTTACCGGGTAAGACTGAAATTTTCTGTTGCTTTGGACGAGCCTCACTGTCCGACCAGTTCAAAAACGTTTCACAGTAAATATCGGTGAACAATTTTGCGACCTCTAGAAAAACGTTTTCTCTTCCTTTCGACAGTTTCTGGTATTCTTCCTTTGAGTAGAGTGAATCTGAACTGATAAATAGCTGTTTCTTACCATTTTGTCCATCCCTACCGTCTCTACCTAAAAATGAAGAACGACAAAAGCAAAATTAGTCCGGAAATGCAGTGAGAGCTAAGCCATGGTACCTACTTATAAAAGCATTATTTATTTATTTTCTGTTTTCACCGTCACGAGCGCAGCACTCTTTCGAGGACGACTGTCTACACGGGTTTTGCTGTGTTCCGTTTGAAGACACCTAAAAAAACATACCAAAACATTAACATCGAGAAATGGTGCAAAAACAAAGTTGGACTACAACCTGCGTGGAAATGTTCAATTGAGCGAATTGCGGGCAAATAGTTTACAGTTGTGAGAGCAATTCATTCACGGGCAGAATATTTGCCTTCAACGTTTAACTTGCCTTGTTTGTCGAGTTGTTTTGACTACTTGCAAAAGAACGCAAGGTGAACACTAAAACGAGCAAAGTAAGAGAGCGAAACATTTTAACTTCCTCTCTCTCGACAAGTTCCCCGACAGTAAATGAGCTAGTCGATAAATGAATTTTTTTTTTTTTATTCATAAGTATTGTTTACTCTATTGCAAAACGGGAAAAAACGGCATGAGCAAATAGCTAGACGTGCTTTTATTATGATAATTTAGTTGGCAATTTGTTTCAGCGTGAATCGATCATCAAAGTTTTTCATTCTTTGAAATTGCCATTCTTTTGAAATCTATTCACCATGTTCACAGTTATATGATTTGGAATTTTCAAAAATCAATGAGGTTCTGAAGTCGTCGAGAAATAAAATTCACTGAAACAAGAGTCAACAAAAACGTGTATGAATAAAAACACACACTCCACAGTTATATTTAGCTACGGCCCTGACAGTTACCGTGACAAGATGGTTGGCAAAGCGAATTGCGTTACAAACAGGTCACACTTATAGAAGCCAACTCCTGGTATTAAAGAGAAGTATGATTCTCAACGACTCCTTTCGAAAATCGGTTTATCGATCGCGTTCAGGAGATGTTACCGTCGATTTTTCGTTTGAGAAATTTCTACAGTTCAACCCTATAGAAGAAAAACCACACCGTGGCCGGGAACTGCGCTAAATCTTGGTTTCTAGACTTTCGTAAAGGCGATTTAGGTCTAACCACTATTTCTGAAATATTTAGAAGTTTCTGGAATATTTAGAATATACGTGGAGATATTTGAAAATTTAAGAATATTCAGGGAGATTTACAATTTGCCTTTTTCAGAAGTTTGTGTTTTTCAATAATCTTCAAGAAAATAGCTCAGTCATTGTCAGCAATAATCCAATTCAGCGGTTTCCCACCTAAAAACCATGTCCCAGAGAAGGCAGCCATTTTCCAAAATGGAGGACGCTGAGAACTCTTCATTTTCTTCGATATCTCACTCTTTAAGTCCTGGCCGAACGGACTCGCAAGTAGTTGCAAGTAGCCGAAAGCTGAACTTGTGTAAAGACTTGTGTTGGGTGGCCAAACCGATTCGCAAGTTTCCTCCAAAGTACTCGCGGCAAAAATGGGTGGGGCTCCGCCCGACCTACATCACGGTGGCCGCCAAAATGATCGCTATCTTGAAAACCCTGCAGATTTATCCTGTATTTCATTGGCTAATAGGTTGCTTTAACAACGAACGGACGCCACTCAACTTGCGTTAACTTGGGTTGGGTGGCCAAACTGTAAAATACTAAGGTAATACTTGCGTTGACTTGCGTGCAAATTTGATCTCGACCAAAGTGCGCGCAAGGCCTGGCCAAACGATTTTTCTGACCAGAAATAGGACTTAGTGTCCTATGGGGAATGTTTTATTACTGGAGTTACAAATTGTTTTGCGTGTGACCAGGTTAATTCGGAGGTCCACTGCAGGAGATCTCTTGTCATTTACAAATGTAGTGTACTGGACCTGACGGGTGAAGGACTGGAAATCTTTCTAAGTGAACGAATCTCGTCCATGGACTGTGTGCCCTTACACAATTCACACCCTGGGCGATGCTAAGCTTCTAAATAGGCAAGACCGACAAGAGATCCTTATAAAGCTAACAAGCGGAGGTCTGGACAGCTTTCTCAGTGAGCGACTCGGGTCCGTTGGCTGTGTGTCTCGACACAACTCACTCTCAACGATACCATCGAACAAGCTTCCTTCGCTAAGCTTCTAAATGGGGCAGGCTGACAGGAGATAATTAGAGTAAACGCTCTTGCAGCTTTAAAGACCGATACTATTTTAAAAATCCAATATTTCCGGTATTGGGTTGCAATTGAATGCAGAGGAATATCATTAAGAAGAGATTTGAAAAGACTCCCCGCATTAGCCAGTTGCAAGCTACTTCCAGTCCAATACCAAGAATACGAAAACGGTCTACTTGTTTTTTTCTTTGTACAATCAGCTTTTATTTTTCTACTAATACTGAATAATTCTATTCAAGTCTATAATATAATATCGTCATTCTTTCATATCATAGGAATCTTCTCAATGCTCGGAATCACGTCAACATTGTACAGCACTGGTGTTGAGTCGTACTGCCAAAAGCTAGACGTCTTGCTCATGCGCCGCAAGCGCCTGCAGTAAAGCAAGATGGCGGCCACCACTGTGACACTACACACAAGAAAAATGATGCGGAATTCTAGATCACTGACGTAACTCCAAAAGGCGTGATAAGTGCTTTTGTACTGCGAGTGCAACTGGACTTCCCTGTAAATTGAAGAAAAACACACAATATTGATATCTGAGTTTCACTTTGGGAATAAAAGATACAAAAAGCAGGGTCAAAGCGGGTTTTCAACTGAGTGTAGAAAGTAATTTGGCAATTACTTTGGTTCTGCTTTTGCTTTTGCTTTTACTACGGTTCGAGATTAGCTGAGTAGTCTAATTGGTAAGTAGAGCGGATTTCGATTGAGTGTAGTAAAAGCAAATCCAAACCAATTTCTTACCAATTAGACTACTCAGCCAGTCTCAAACCAAAACCAAAACCTAAGTAATTGCCTGATTACGTTTGACACTCAATTTAAAGCCAATCTAATTGATTTGGTTTTGGTTTCACGACACTCAATTGAAAACTACTCTAACCATTCCAAGAGTCAAACCGCAAAACACCGAAGGATAAGAGTTTGTACTATCAACAGATCAATAAATGCGAAGCAGGCGAATGCTAAATCGTATAGATGGTAATTAGATAACTTTTAGACAAATGGCACGGCAACAATAGCACTGAAAATGAAGAGAAAAGGTGTAATTTCCTGCTACAGTTGAGCCCAGTTGCAAGACGATCAACAGTTGACGCCCTTACGCCGGCTCTGTAGACCAAGATATGTTATAAACTTGCCAGCGAGTGGAGCTTGAAGCGAGTACATGTAAAATGTGTACCACACTCAAAACTCGAGTGCCAAAAGCGCCCGGAGGAGCACATACAATCTTACAACCGTGAAATATTTTGAGAACATCTAGAGTCAGCTCTGTATGGCTACACCACGCAACACTCCGCTTGAGAAAACCATCGGCTAACGGAGAAATCGCCAGGAAATCCTCGCATGTCTCCACCCATACATGTGCCGTGAAGCGCTAAAATGTTATTGTTAACTTACTTACCTAAGAGGAAGAAACCTTGTGCGGTAGAGGATAGCGCCAAGCGTCCATTGAACTTCTTTATCGCCGATGTAGAAGGCAGAGTGTAGATTACTATAGTTTTGCGGAAATTTGAAACCTTGGTGAAGAACTGCTGTCATCCAAGCTGCTTTGAAACACTGAAACCTAACAAAAACAAGTTTCATTTGAAAAACTGACTTAACGGTGAACAAAACAGTCTTCATACTTCGCCTAGAGTTCGTCTGCTATACTATAATGTCATGACACGAAAGAGTCACGTGTGGAAGGGACATCATTGCATCGACATGTGTCAGAGGGAAAATCATGTTCTGTTCATACAAGGAGACAAGTGACACGGGAGTTTGGTGAGGACACACAAGAAAATACAGCGGGGACATGTTGCAGCGAAGAATCTTATCGGGTGTGCTGAGACTGTTGAGGTCACGCAACATAAACTTGGCGGGAATGTTGTCCCCGTAACATGTCACACGTCACGGAGTTCAACTCGTTGACATCGATGTCACAGGAACAGTAGGTCTGACCTCTTTTCATGTTATTGTAAGCCCTAAGACCTAAGTTCCAGGAACTACTTACAAACTACGTGAATTTAACGTAAATTGTCTTACTTGAGCCTATGAGCATCCGCAAAAGGGTATAAGCCTTTAGAATGACGCGACTCAAGAACAGACCAACCAGTGCTGCAGAACTCCTGAAAAAATATAATCATATGTGAGTGCTGGTTTCTATACTAAGCATGAACTGACTTACAGACTAAGTTTGCGCTCTTTCTGGTATAGAGCGCTTTTCAACTGAGTGTCGTATAACCAAAACCATTTCACTCTAACCAGTCACAACGAACGCAAGCAGTCCAGCGAACCAATCAAAACTAGAAGCTTTTTGCCGGCAAAAATGTGCGAGCGAGTCGCGATTGGCTTTGGTTTTCCTTCTGATTGCATAACAAAGTGGCGTGAGTTTTTTAAATCAATCGCGTGGGGTAGGAATGCAAAACCAAAGTAAATGAAAATTATGTTCAACACTCGGGTGAAAACCGCTCTAAGAGACAGGCCAAGTATCTTAAGTCATTGGTTTTGTCCAAAAAGATGAAAAATAAGATTTTCAATGTCAACCGGTCTAAAAGAATTCGAACGTCTAGCATCGACCCGAAACAAGAGCTGAACAAATATACACAAGGAATATTACCTGCACAGCCCCCTTCATGTCAGTCGCACTATATTGTCCACCAATTCTCAACACATCATGCATAGAGTACCAGTACTCCGAGAATCCATAAAACTCAACGTTCTCGTAGTCAATATGAGGCTGGTAGACTGCATTAAATGAACACGGCTTCTTTGGACAGGGCTTGGTGAGGTTAAGAAGAGGAACTACAAGCTGTTGACATTTTAGGTATTCTCCTGTTCCAAGAAAGCTGTACGGCTTTCCCTTGTGTGTCCCTTGTTCTGTGCATTCGTTCGGCAAACAAGGATCGAGATAGGCACCTGTTGAACTGTGTATACAACAGAGCAAAAACAATAATACCGAACAATTAGATGATGAGCCTGAGATTTCTACCACGCATAGAAATCAAGAGCGACTGAAGATAATGGTTTTTAATTAGTAGAAATTTACTAGTCTTTCAAAACTTATTGAAATCGTCTTCACAGGCACTTCGAAAATGCAAAGAAGCGGCCGTCGTTCTGTTAGCAAGCGCACACTGCTACGCTACTTACTATCTATCATAGAATAGATAGTGAATAGCGTAGCCAATCAGCAAACGGCATTCGTGATAGAACGCTAATAGGTTTCATACTACCACCCCTTTATACAGTGAAAAACTCTTAAATACAAAAACCAAAGACACAGGGCGCAACATCCGTAGTTTGGAGGTGTCTGTATTATAGAGGTAAAGATAATATGAGTTCTATAGCTTCTCTAGATCTAAGTGAACTGTCCGGGAGAAACATCTGGGAGAAACGTATACTCGGATAAAATCCGAGTCTATGGTGAAACATTGCATTTTGCCTAGTTTTTTTTTTTTTTCTGCAAGTTTATAAACCAAGCATACGGCCAAAGAAGATCATTGCTGCTTTAATTTGCGTCTTTTTTTTTTTTCAACTGTATAATTACCGGTAGTATCAGTATTGCCTTGTGTGTGAAGTGTTTCTTCCTGCATATAAAATGCAACTTAAGTCGAAATATGGTGCTTGTTAATCATATTCATGAATTACACGCAGTTGAATATCGGTTGTTTTCGGGGCTTAAAAGGATCCTACAAGGTGTCAAACAAACTTTCTCGCCAAAACTGAACTCGCACGCCCCCAGCCCCACAGAACGGGAACGCCTGACAGATTTAATTAAAGTAAGTACACTGTAGACTGAGAAATTATGACCGAATTTGTGTACAGTTAATACCATCCTACTTTTATTACCATACTTTGGTGGCGTATCACGCTCCTTTGGTCTCCCCATAAGTACATGTATTTTGGCTCGCCTACATTTCATACAAACCATGGCTCAACCAAATGCACCTTGAATGCTACCAAAGCGTACCAAAAAGGCACGATCAGGACTGGTATAAATATTATGTCAATCAATCAAAATCTGATCATACTTACAGATCAACCGGCAGCGTAGCATTCTTCGTGATGACAAGTTCTGTGTACCTGTCTCGAGCAGCATTACCCCCGAACCCAAGAAATGTAGCAACATAGAGATAATAATTATGCGTAGTTTGATGGGAGTCACAGCCAAGGTTAACTTGGGCACTCAGCTCTGATGGAACCCATACCTACAACATGGAGAAACATCGAGCACTGTTAACAGACAAGTATAAGTATGAAGATGCAACTCTAGCCCTGGTTATGAAAAAGGAGGGTAGAAATGGTCTATTCTTGGGGATCATATATGCGCAACCCGCCATATTTTGTTCCTTCTAAACTGCAGGCCGCTTTCATTTTCTCCTGAAAATTGAGACCGTTATACTAGTAAGTAGTAGGATGATTATCATCACAGCCAATCTTATAACAGTAAGTAACAAATTATTTACGATATGTTAAATATTTCACTTTCCTCATGAATGTAGATACTTACAGACTTTGCAACTTCAAAAGCAATTTGTGCAGACCCTCCACCCATGTCAAGGGATCCCACAGTCCTTTTACGGGGAACATCAGACACACTATTGTTCAAACCTGGTGAACCTGTGACCCAAACGAGTATGAAACAAATACATTTTGTAAGGCAAATCTGCTGGTTAGTCGTGTGGCAACTCTACTCAAGATCACTTAAAGCACTAGTATTGGTCTATCCCAGGTGAAATGTTAAACATCATGCTGTCTTTAAAGTCAACTGACAATGTTTTTAAATGCCTGAATCTAGCAGAGACTCTGCTCGGCCAGTTTGCATACTGAATAATGTAAAACTAAACAACTAGCATGGGGGTGTTCTGCTCAGAACAAAGAAGAAATACCCACATTTTATTCCATAATTACTGAATCGAACTACACGAAAGGCAAGTTTCAATTGCCCTTTTGTTGGGCATGGAAAAAAACTGAACACCAACAAATCTTGATCTGAAATAAAATACCTTGGCTATCGTGTGAATGATCAAATCTTCCCAGCTCAAAATTAACTCCAATCCATGAATAAATACCTGTGAGACGAACAATTTATTTATTTACTACTAGTTAATAATAATAATAATAATAATAATAATAATAATAATAATAATAATAATAATAAACTTTATTACCGTGTCTAAAATGTTTAGCTGAGGGGAAGCCTCCCCTCTACTAATTGTGGACACCTACCTAAAAAAAATTACAACTATTACAATAATAAGAAAAATTTATGTGATAAAAAAGCTATATACATGCTTATTATTAAAATTCACAAAGGCGGCAATTGCATCTTTCATTGTTTAAAAAGTTACTGAAGTCGTGTTTCCGGATTGTTTTCTTAAATGTATTAAGAGACTGACAGTTCACTTTCCATATAATTTACAAAATTGATAGGTGCACATTGATCTTTGGTACTTAATTCAATCTGAGTGATTATAGGTCAGAGCAGCACAGCAGTTTTGACCTGAACACTTGACTCCAGGTTACAAGGAGTACTACTCCAAATCATGTACTTTTATTGAATAGCATTCTGTCAGATTGCCTTATTAATGTCATTGTTGTTGTCATCATTGTTATCATCATCGTTGCCATCACCATCGACAGCAGTATCTTAATCAATCATCATCATCATCTTTATTATTACTTGTACATGTACCTATGTTTACATCTCTTGCAGCCCAAAACACAACACAATTGCTCTGGCCATTGCTTGCAGAGACACCTTGATCAACAGAGTCAAATGCACTCGCCATCAAGCCATTGGGCTGTGCATTCAGACAGCAATCACTACATGAAGATCTATACTGGACTTTTGCTTAAATCTTATCAATAATATGCAAAACCATGATCAGTAAATTGCATACCTTCTTGTTTGCCCGTGATAACCTCAACATGTGACGAAGAGAAATGGAAGTTATATTTCAAAGGAATATCAACCCTCAAGTCATCTAAAATAGACTCCTGGTCTGCAGTGGAAAGCATTCGCATGCCAGCTGTTGCTAGGACATAAAGTGGTGTTTCTTTGTGTTTGTGTTCAGGGATCTGCTGCGCAGCGAAGGACAGCAGTGGATCAATATATGAAGAAGCTTCTGATGGCTGATTGACTTGACTGGAGATTCCTTGAATCAGAAGAGAACATTTCAAATATCAAATTTTGATGGATTAATGAATGGCTTCATAAAAAAGACACATGATAACTGATGCTGGAGCGCTTTCAATTTATCTTACATAATCATAGTCAAGATACGGTAGAACCTCGATTTAATGTACATCTATGTAAAGAAGTCCTCAGTTTAACAAACTGTATTCATTGCCCCAGTAATAGTGGAATATATGGAAAGGAATCTTGATATAAGGAAACCTTGTTGTAGTGAACATATTTTGCCAGTCCCTTGGCCCTTCATTATATCGAGGTTCCACTGTAGGTAGGTCAAATTTAAAGTGCTATGAATAACACAACACGATTCAAGTTGTTTTTTGTTTAGGCCATCCATGTCATTAATTTTATTGAATTTTATTACCAAGAAATATTAACCCAGGGTTATGTTGCTGCAACATTTTGAAGAACGCAGAGTTATTGTTGGAGTAGGTGGTTTGCTTTGTCATCTTTTTCTGAACAATCAAATTGTTACCTAGGAGAGTAGCTGACCAAGATCATGAGGTAGATGGTGATCTTTGCAGTGACAGGCTTCTTTCGACAACTTTCAGCTTACAAGTAGTCCCTCTTTAGCTTTTCTGATTTCATGTGGCTATTGTTTTTTTCCTCAGGTTTTTTTGTTAATTTGTGTTTTTCTTTTTTTTTTTTTTTTTCACATCACACAAGACAGACAAAGTGAAAAGAGGAACTACTTAATAATAAATAATTGTAGCCTAGAAGACTTTTCTATGGACATTAGAGGAGCCTTAAGGGTCTTAGACAAAATTCCTTCTTAGGGGGAGTTATATTGGATATTTTTTGGAAATACACAGTAGTGTGGAACTTCCTTCAGGTAAGTGTATTTATACAATGGAAACATTCAAAAGTCTTAACCACAAGTACCAGAAGAATTATAATAGGTCTTTGAGAGGTTTTTTATTATAATACCTGGTTTAATCTTCATCCTTACTGGATTTCCTCGGGGGTCTTTCATTTGTTTAATCTGAAGCAATTCATCTGGATTCCCATTGTGCGGTGGCCAGTAATAAATAAAAACACGAGATCCACTGCTACCACAGTCAATAACAATTCCATAGTGATAATGTGAATCTGCTCCATGTTCATAAAAATCAGTTGACGTAAAACGTCTAGTTCTATTTGGATACCAGTTATGGTGTAAGAAGAAGAGACATCCCAAAAATGTAATAACAATAAAACCAATGGTGATAAAAGAGCGCAGCTGACTGGCTTGAGTTCCAAAAATATGGGAAAATAATCTCTTTGCTGAAGAACATGTTTTGTCAGTGCTTGATGATATTATTCCTGGTCGTAAAAATGACGGACAGTTGGTCCAGCGAATTGATATCCTAAGAGAAAACAAACCAAAAATAAATAAAAAATGTTTGTAAAATAAGACAATGACACATGAGTGTTACATGTAAGTTTTGGGGTATATTACTGGTTCGCAAAGTGACCACTTCTCAGGTAGCTTCATAGCTCACTTGATAAACCATTACACCAAAATTGCAGAGATCATGAGTTTGGGTCCTAATCAAGCCTTAAAAACGTTCTTTACCTATGTACATATGACTGAATTAGTCTTCGATGTACTATATCTTTTACCTGTACAGTAGTTTAACTACAACATATGTTGTACATATTTTACTTAGAAATACAGAATTGAGTTTTGGTGGATAGCTCTGTCGCAGCTACTACAAGACCATTCTCACCAATTTAACATGGGTAAAGGTAAGGAATCCAATCCGATGGACGCATCGATCAGTCAACAGCAAGTAGTCATCCTACAGTAGTCAGCCGACGATTGTTGACCGGTAAAGCCTAAAGGGGGTTTCTTTCAACTAAAGTTGGTTGTAGGTACCGGTATTATTTTTCTTTCTCGGTATCCTGCTTCCAATACTCAAAAATCAGGCTAGACGTAAGCTTTCTTGTTGACTTATATTTACAAAACCTAGGAAAGTTTAAATTTGCAGAATTTTCATGAATCGATCACCTTTGTGTACGGTAGCAAGTGTAAGGCAAAATCACGCAAAATCTATGTCGCCTACATTTTACTTTTAAGCTCCATCCATCCACATGTTATAAGATCATAGATTTACATGCCTCGATGTTTACACGTTTAGCTTAAGGTTATAGTAAACAAACTTGTTTTTCAGCTACAAACAGACTTACCGGCCAACCATTCTGTTTTCTAAACGATATCACAGAATGATTGCCGTCATAAGTGCAATAATTGACGACTCCAGGTGGGTAGTTACACCAGGATTTCTTCATCACTCCGTGTAGACATCTATTCCAAACATTTTTGATGAAATTTAAAACAAAAACACCGGTTAGCAAGCGCCACGTCCGTTGTAAAATTTGGCGCAATAATTTCTGCGGATTATCGAAGGAACAACTCCTATGTCATATAAGATCAACCAAGATGTATAAATGAGCTGTTTTGAGCAGCGGGTTTTCTAACTCACTATGCGTAAAGGGTAACAAAAAGTTTTTACCTCTGCGCAAGGGCAAGGAAGGCCATTGCCCGACAGAAAAATATGATGGTGAGTTAGGCTTTGAAATCTTTTTCCATCTTTTACAATTTAGCCGAATGTTAGGATTTTAGTTTAAAAATGTGCAGAGCTAAGACATATTTTTCATTTTGTGATGGTTTTCCGGGGCTTCGTCTCGTAGAATTGAAATGTTTCCACTCACATGTTTGACACTTTGTTTTTGACAGCAACCGGGTATAATTTTGTTGAAGGAGGGTACGGACTCCTCGCAGGGTGTTCCACAACTCATCAGCAACATAAACGCTTGTCAGTTTATTGCTGATGCAGTACGAACAACTCTAGGGCCAAGAGGAATGGATAAACTGATTGTAAATAATCAAGGTAAGTTTGTGTACAGTACGAGAAACCTCGTGTACAAAAATTCTTGAACTGACTTTTGCGTTGTCTTGTACCTGGCTGTCTATTTAGGAAAAGCTACAATATCCAACGATGGAGCTACAATTATCAGCCTTTTAGATGTTGTTCATCCCGCTGCAAAAACTCTGGTTGATATTTCGAAGTCACAAGATGCCGAGGTTTGTAAACTCCCTAAAACTTCAGTATAAACCTTTTTTATGTGGAAGATAGGCTTAGTTTACATTCATATGTAGCATAATTTTTGCCCTGCTTGAAATATTAACTGCTATGTAAAGCTGAACGTTTTCCTAATGTTAAGCGTTCCCTAGCAATCGCTTTGCAAGGGCACTAGTACAGTAAATTCTGCTGTACCCACCCCACCCCTTTGGAGGAAATCCATTGGTAATTAGTTCCTTATATACGTAATCCTTGTGAGAAAAAAAGATGGCAGCTGGACATTTCAGCAGACATGCAAACCTTACACAGCCTGTAAAGTATTTTTGCAATATTTGTCCCGGTGTTAGCAACATAGTGTATTCAAGGTGTGAAGATGTTAGAACTTTTCTGTTTGTTTTAATGAGTGTTGTTTAAGTTTTCATAGGCTAAGAATTATGGGCAAATGTACCAGTTTACCATCTTTTTTGTTGCCAAAGATCACTAAGTGACATCTAGGAATCTAAGAAAAAAAATTGTGGAAATTTCCAAATAATTAGCAAATGAAAGTTGGCAATAGGTTATTATGGTGGGGTTGAACAACTTGTATCTCTAGCGATAGAGAAGGATTTATATCACAGAGTAAAGTTGAACTAGGTAAGCAGTTGAACATTTCTTGTACAATATTCATGCAGGTTGGTGATGGAACAACAACAGTCACTCTGCTTGCCAGCGAGTTCCTCAAGCAAGTGAAGCCTTTTATAGAGGAAGGTGTCCATGCGCAAGTTGCAGTAAAAAGCTTTAGGAAGGCAGCAAATTTGGTGAGTGAATTTTACTCTGGAAAAGTGGACATCAGAAGAAGTGCTTTTGTAATGAGATAACACTAGAGAGGGGAGGGCAGGTTTAAGTTTAATACTAACTTTAAAATTCAGTTTTCAAAATTTAACAAATTTGATTTTGCTTGCTTTCATACTGGGTATTTTGGCTTTGACTTTTAGTTTAGAATTATAGATAGAGCACTGAGGTGTGAATTTCTGTGTCATTTTTGTTTTTTGTTTCTTGTTTTTTTTTTAAACAGGCTATCAAAAGAATTAAGGAGATTGCTGTTCATATCAAGAAAGATGATCCAAAGTAAGAATTGGTTTAATTAATAGTGTAAACAGGACATGTTTAGAACACGAAATAGCAAAATGACACTACAGGTAAGAGTCAATGTGGGATACGGGTGTCTATAGGGTGAACCCTTACAATTATTAAGAGCTAACCACTGTGGAGTCAGTGATCTTTGGGCTAACCTGAGCATGTTTGAGGCTAACTGCAGTGCCATTTCACCATTTCATGTTTCAAAAACGCCCATTTGGAAGGTAAGCCTGAAACTTTACCCAGGTGGCTCATAAAGCTGAAAAGAGAACTGACACTAAAGCATTTGAGAAAGTTTCTTTTCCACATGTGACTTTGTTTTCAACTTTGTTGTACAGCGCCTAGAGCAGGCATGGATAGGCGCTATATAAATATTTATTTATTATTATTATTATTATTATTATTATTATTATTATTATTATTATTATTATTATTATTATAAGTTAAAAAATGTGCAGCCCGTACATTTTAAGTGCTCACGTAAAAGTAGTGACTCTCGGAAAGTACCTATCCCTTGAATGGAATGATAGTAGAGAACCGGTAACCTGAAAAACCTTGTTGTCTCTGAAATACATGAAGGTTCTCAATAATTTAGGGAGTAGATGGCTTGCTTCATGAAGTAGACTGTTGACACCAATATATATTGAGTGCTGAAGGCACTTAATGAGAACCCTGTACATTATGATATCATGGGGTATTACCAGGGCTGTAACCCATAACACCTGCTACGGCTGAGTATGTTTGATGGGCTCTTTAACATTATGGGTGTAACTTGCCTCTAGATGATACAATTACTCAAAAGGTAACAAGTTTGTTACGGGTGTGTAGGTCAAGGCTACAGGTGGCTCAAAACTTAATGACAGCCCCGATTGCAACTTCTAATTTGGTAATCCTTGTGTTATCCTTGCAGAGAAATGAGAGTATTGTTAGAGAGATGTGCAGCCACTGCATTGAGTTCAAAACTGGTAGCTGCCCACAAAGACTTCTTTGCCAAAATGGTTGTGGATGCTGTGACGCTTCTTGATGACCTTCTTCCACTCAGTATGATCGGCATGAAGAAAGTGAAAGGTGGTGCTTTGCAGGATTCACGGCTCATTGCTGGTGTAGCCTTCAAGAAGACTTTCTCTTATGCTGGATTTGAAATGCAACCCAAAAAATACAAGAACCCCAAGATTGCTCTGTTAAATGTGGAGCTGGAGCTGAAAGCGGAAAAGGAGAATGCGGAGATTAGGCTAGACAATGTTGAGGTAACTGGTGCTGCCAACTTATACTAGATATTGGGGGAACTTGTGACGTTTTTTGCTAGGTATGACTTCGTTTGAAACGGCGAAATCAGGAAAGCTGTTTCTAACAAGTTTCTTTAATTAGCATGACAATGTAATGATAGTGAATTTTAGGGGGTTAGCAGGGTTATGAAAAGTTTAAAAGTAAGCGGACTAATTGTTGGAGCAGGTGGCTGAATTTGCTGGCAGGGGGGGGGGGTTCCTAAAGAATCAGGGCCGTGTTGTTCAAAAGCCTGTTAACACTAACCCAAGATTAAATAACTGAAGTATTAATTTTTCTTGTATAAAAATGATTTTCACTGCCTATGTTTTGTGAAGTTTGAGATTGTTCAAACTCAAAACTGAAGGACAAATAATGTAAACAGAAAACCTCACTGAAAAGTTACAAAACTGAAATCAAACTTCTTGGTAATCCTTGGTTAGCTTAATTGGGCTTTGAACAATCCAACCCCAGCAAGTAGCTTGAATGCTAAGTTACTAGTATGATGACAACTGGTTTTATATTTGTGGTGTGTCTATATGGGTCCATCCCAAAAAGTAAAATGTGCAATCCTGTAACATGGAGAGAGACCTCCAGGAAGGAAATTTACAAATGCCTGTGATCAGATGTGTTTTAGTAGCAATGTTTAGCACAATCCTGATTTATATCTTGGCTTGTTTTTGTTCAAGTAGGAATATCAGCAGATTGTTGATGCTGAGTGGGATATCCTCTATGACAAACTAGACAAGATTGTACAAAGTGGTGCTAAGGTTGTCCTCTCAAAGCTGCCCATTGGAGATGTTGCCACACAGTACTTTGCTGACAGGTAAGATTAACAACTTTTTGTTTCAATCTGTTTTTTCTAGACCAATATCATTGCACCTTGCATTATCTCTCATTTAAATGGTCTCAAGAATTCCTTCACAGAACTAACAGCTAGAACCACCCTAGCAGCATTCATTTGAGTGTTCATCAGAATTTCATCTGCAGATAGAAATGTTAGAAGCACCTTGTAGAGTATAATAAGAAGTTCTTCTTGAATGCACTGCTCAGTAGCTTTTTAATATGTGGATAGCTTCATCCAGAGACTGAAACATTGGAACCACCTTTTACAGAGGCAGATTCAGAAAATTCACTAAGAGGGAACGGAAAAACAATCCGGTGACAGTGCAGCCTCACCCCTTGCTCATAACATGACATCTTCGAGAGTGTGGGGGTAACGATGGATGGTTATCTCCCCCCCCCCCATGTACAACATAACAATCAGTAGCACATATAAGTACTGCTCAATACAAATATAGCTTTCATTTTAGTAGCCACATGCATGTATCACTGGACTTTCATCCACACACTTAAATTTTTATTGGCTTTGTACCACAAATGGTAGTGTTTTACTGAAGTATTGCTCGGTACAATGTAGCTTTCATTTCGATGGTTACGCTTTTCAAGATTTAGTGCAACAATTCGAAAGCTACTTGTCAGTTCAGTGTACAAGGCCATCTTACAGTGAGGGCTGGCTGGTCTTTCAGGGATATGTTCTGTGCTGGCCGTGTGGTGGAAGAAGACTTGAAGAGGACCATGAAGGCGTGTGGTGGTGCCATTCAAACATCAGTTAACAGTATGACTGATGATGTTCTTGGGAGATGTGAATTGTTTGAAGAGGAGCAGATTGGTGGAGAAAGGTACATGACTTTCATATATTCCTGTGTAGCACAAGAAGGCCTGGTCTGTTCTAGATAGGTTTTATGTATCTCTCAGGTTTATGCAGCCTATTTCAATTACCTTACACTACGCAGACTAATAAAATTTGAGTTTTTACCTGAAAAGTGGTGAAATAAATGGCCTGTAAGTTAATACAAACCCTTATATTTTATGGCCTGTATCCTGACCTACACAAATTCTCAATAATTTTTCTTAATATCTGTAAAAGCTGATTTTGATTTTACTTTGAAATAGGATTAATACAATACTGAGGTTATCCTGGAAAATGTTTGACTTGTTTAAACATTGCATCTTTGATTTATGTTTATCCAAAACATAAATAAAGCAACTTCCCAGGTATCTTTTGTACATGTACCTTCTTTAGAGAAAAGTGATTAAAATCTTTGCAATGTTACTTTAGGTACAATATATTCACTGGTTGCCCTGAGGCCAAGACTTGCACCCTCATAATGCGAGGTGGAGCTGAACAGTTCATTGAAGAAACAGAGAGATCTCTCCACGATGCCATCATGATCGTGCGGCGAGCAATTAAGAACGATGCTGTAGTGGCAGGAGGTGGAGCTATAGAAATGGAGTTGAGTAAATACCTGAGAGATTATTCACGTTCAATCGCTGGAAAGGAGCAGCTTCTTATTGGGTCAATGGCTAGAGCTTTAGAGATTATTCCAAGACAACTCTGTGACAATGCAGGATTTGATGCTACCAACATCTTGAATAAGCTGAGACAGAGACACTTCCAAGGTAAGAAATCTGTGTCAACTTCAAATTCAAGAACCCTTCAGTAACAGTTAAGTTCTTTGAAGTTTAAAGAAAACCTTTTTTTTAGTCCTTGTTTTCTTGTCAACCATTCTTTGGGCCATCTTGCAAAACAGTTTGTGACATGAACAATGCACTTGTACAGTGTGTTTATAAGTTTATTGCATGACTGCCTTTAGAAGTAGTAATCTACGAAGACAGCTTTCCAACAGCTGTGGCTCAGGAACCATGAAACCTACTAATTTTTAATAGCAATGGTGGTACATAACTTGGTGGAGCCCAATTCAGTCTGAAAATCATATGATCGATTACCACAATTGGGCAATTATGTAGCAGGATTCCAATTTGTTTAATGTGGCTAAATGAAATTTAGGTGAAGTTTAACCCTAGTCAATTCTGGCCAGTGGTCTCTCAGGGCGACCATGCTCTGTCAGGTCTCATACGAAGTTTTGCAGGGCTTACATGTTTTGCTTGCCAGCCGTGTGAGAACGTGCATTTTGTCTTGAGTGCCATTTGTGCTTGTAGCATGCTAGAATTTTTATCATTATTACAGACAGATGGCATGAACTCTTGTTACTAAAATTAATAATCAGAACTTTAAAATATTTCAGATAGTTGTTGGGACTTATGCTGCCCACCTTCACCCAGGACTAACCACTGCATTTTTGTGCGTAAACATCATTGATGTTGTTTTTTATCCAGGTGGCATGTGGTATGGTGTTGACATCAACAATGAAGATATTGCTGATAATTTTGAAGCCTGTGTCTGGGAACCAGCCATTGTGAAAATCAATGCGATTACGGCTGCCACTGAGGCAGCTTGCCTTATCCTATCTGTAGATGAAACCGTGAAAAATCCCAAGTCGGGTGGAGATGGGCCTCCCCCAGGAGCAATGGGACGTGGGCGTGGTCGTCCCAGATGAGAACAGGACACTTGCATGCTTGATTGATTGGCAATAATATGGACGAAGATAAGTTATATTACGGTTGAGAACACGAACAATTCCATCATATCTGACATTGGTGTTCTCTCATTGTTAGGAGGACAAACCATTGAAACGAAATGTGTACTAAGAAAGCAAACTAGGAACAACTAAATAATAAAAATTTGCCATAATAATGGCCGTTTGACTGTAATGTCGTGTTTCTCCTTTACTTCTAGGATGCAATGGATAGGGGATAAGTACAAGCAAAATCAACTACAATATCCACTAGCAAGTTTATAGCTTACTCCACCCTTTAGCCTGCATAGAACGTATAGAATGAGCCAGAGGAGGAGGGAGGGCAGGGATAGAAGGGGGTGGGGGGTGGAGATATCTTTCTTCCCTTCTTCCTTGTGTTGATCGCCTCACCTACCCCTTCCCCGTTTGCGCCTTCAGCCCAGGCTACACCCTTTAACATGTACAAATAAAGTGTGTACACACGGGATACTCCTGAACTTTGTGTTGTGCCAGGTTGCCCAACAACTCAAGTCAAGTCATCTTTATTTAGGCAGGGTGGGGGGTGGCCCCATCAGCTATAGACTGGTATCGAAAGGGGCCCTGCGTAAAATTAAGACTACATGACAAAAAATTCAGAATTTAGAAATTGGGAAAGAAATTGAAAGAGTATCAGGCTTTTGTTACTTGGGGGTTACACTAGATGAGAATCTCTCATGGAACGAGCATGTAGAACTGAGTTGTCACAAAGTGAGCAAGCCTCTCGGCCTGCTGTCCCGCATACGACCTTTCCTCACCCTAAAAGCCGCTAAACGCGTGTATAACTGTTTAATACAGCCGATGTTTGATTACGCTGATACGGTATGGAGTGGGCTGTCAATCGGATGCAGTAACAGCTTGCAACGTCTACAAAACAGGGCAGCACACATAATAGAAAGAAACTTGTAAGCACTCGTGCAACCGTGTGGAGGGAGGCCACTGGACGTGGAGTGCAGCACGCGAACCATTTGGCCATAGCTTAAGACTGCATATAACAAACCGGAAATTCCTTACAGCTGATGGCGTGTACTCCATATAGTGCACGAGAGACTTCAAAATTTCGGCACTTTTGAAGGGTCACAGTCTTTGAACCGAGGGGAAGTAAATCCGGAAGCAACCAAGTACTAGAAAGGATTCCAAAAACGGAGCATTGATTAAATTATCTAGGGGTCCAATAACGCTGCCTCGTTTTCAGGCGTCCCTCCTTGGTAGGTGGGCCTGTTGCACAGGGAAACTTTGCGCGTTTCGCCGCCTACCCATCGAGCACTGTGTTCTCTGTGTTTAGGAAAGGGTATGGAGTTGAACTCCCAGTACAAAACTTTATCGAATACCTTTCACTACTCTCAGTGCATCCTCCAGACAGGTGTATAAATCTTGTAATGGGTTTAATGCTGAGCGGTGGGGTAACCCAACGATGGACTAAAATCCCCCAGGGGGTGTAGAAATCGCGGGGGAGGGGGGAAAGAAGGCAAAGGCGTGCATGGTAAGAGAATCTTTTGATTCGGATTTACTGACTGATTCGTCTCACTGCTAGAAGTCTTAGCAACGAAACTGTGTAGTTGAAACCATATGCCGGAGTCAAGTCTTTCCATAATTGTTATTTGTTTCATGGACGCGTACAAATTCTACAAAACAATTTATTTCTCTTTAGATATATATATACAGTTCTTGACATTAGCGGAGAGCTTATTAATAAGATAAGACGTGGAAATTCCAAAACTCGAATTTTCACACCATACAATTTACGTGCAAGACCATTTTTATAAAACCTTTTTTTAAATCATTGTCTTCAAGCAAATCTGATTCTGATTGTCCTTACATGTAAACGAAGATAAACTACTTTTCCACTTTTTCGTAATACAATTCTGTTTTCGTTTCACTGCCGAGAGAGCAAATATAGTTGAGAAAGCGACACTTCATTAAAATACTATTTATAACATTGGCTAAAGCGTGGAGAGTTTCTTAAGGTTTATATCGACTAAAATCTCGAAAACATCCTTAAGTACTGTTTTCATGACGTCAGTGTCTGTTGCGCACGTCACGTGCAAATACACATGCTTGTCAGCGGGTTTCTTTGAAAGGAATAACTCCCGGATATAATTTAGACCTCTTTCGGGGTCTGGGCCACCTGAAACGAAATACACAACGTGTTATGCTCGAAGATTATGGTAATATTAGCCTACGAGGAAGAAGTTGCCCTCTTGTGGTGCTGACACACGAAAGCACATGCCGCAGGGACAAATTGCGGGTACAAATTCACACATGTACACGCGACAAGTCCCCTCGAAGGTCCTACAGTACTTCTCAGAGGACCGTCAACTGTCGCTGAAACATGTCCCACCACATTATATTCTGTGAATTGTCCCTGACACTTGTCGCGGCGACATGTCCTGGGCATGCCCCTTGGTGTGTTAGAACCCTCAGGTTCACGCGAAGCCCACCACTGCAAGAGGACTTCTCTTCAGTGGTAAAAAGTGGAGTGTTAAACCACACAGACTAGTCATTTTATCTTCCCGCTTGTAAGGTTCCCACTCAAAAGAAAAGCTCAGCAGTTTCTACAGTTTCCAGAAGGTTGTTGAACATCACACGATATTCCATCACGTTGATTTTGCCCTTCAGCTTACTATACGACTCGCATAATTTGACAAATTTTTAAAGTATTCTTATTTTTACTGTTGTTGTTTTGGACCGTTAAACAGAACAGTATCCTCCTACCGAACAACTCCACACGCACGCAGGCACGCACGCACACGCGCGCGCAAGTGACACACCCACGCACGTACCCACAACTAACACAAATCGCTTACCATCATAATCCGGAAAACACGCCGAGAGATTCGACGTCTTTACTTTCTCCACGAAAAGGTCGTGCTTGTTGAGGAACAGTATAAACTCAGTGTTTTCAAGGAAAGCATTATGACTGATCTCTTCAAATAGTTCCAAGCTATCCAACATGGCGTTCTGGAAACAACAGGAAGATAAAATCGAGGAAAATACATACAGATAAAACTAACATATGTATAAAAGTTAGGTCCCGTTCACATTACGTTGGAGGAATTTGAAAACGGAGGTTTTGCTCTTCAAACGTATCAAATGTTTTCCGTCCACACTACGCCGGAGGAATTTAAAAACGCAATCACCGGTCATTTTAGATTTGTGTTTGAGGAAAACTCGGTCAGGGAAATCACACGGAATTATCGTGACGCCATCGTTTTCGAAAAGCTCCGCTTTCAAAATGTTTTCCGTCCACACGAAAACGAAAAACCGACGTTCACAAATTCCTCCGGCTTGAAGAGCGTTTTCGAAAAGCACTGATTCCGGGACCTGCAAACTAGTGAACCCAACTAGTACCGTCTTCTCTTTCGTCTTTTCATTCCTATATTTAACGAAGTGACACTCAGAGAGCCTAGGGGTAGAGAATACATTGTAATATGATTTAAAATGTTGTTCTTGCATACTGCCCAGAAATAGAGACGTCGTTGCCATGCTCCTTCTCGGAAACTATTTCGGAGACGGGGCAATCTGCATTATTAAATCTTGTAACATGTCAGTGTCCACCAGTCTCCGTAGCCATTATTTGGGTTGTCAATCGCTTCTACCCTCTAGGGGCATCGCAATTTTCTCGTCTTCGGGAGCCATCGGGAATAATCGGAGGCACAAGTTAACAGAACGAGGACTTACCGAGTTCTCGTCCTCTTCTACGAACTCATCATAACTGCTCAACGAAGCGAAAAATACGACAGCTGTTACACCTTCAAAGAAATGAATCCACTTCTTACGTTGATTCTTCTGTCCTCCGACGTCTATTACTCTATAAATAAGAAAAACAGGCATTGACAAGCTTTATTATAAGCCTATCCCTACATTCCTAGAGAAGACCTTAGGGACACCGGCCACAAGTTGGAAGAGAGTAAGGCGGCTGTCATAGCTAGAGACGAAAACAACTTCAGAAGAGGAGAATTCGGGAGGCCTTGGGAATTCTATGCCAGTCCTCGACGCTCAATTGAAAGGGTGGATTTGAACTTCTGGCCCAAAGCAGGGATGTTTTGGCACGTGACTTGGTTCACCCAAGCTCACGTGACAAATAGATTCCCGCCACATTCACTTGAGAAAGACGCTGTGACATCGTCGAATGCTTGTGATCGCTAAAACATCGACTCTGCTTCGGTATCTTGTTTGTTATTATGTCTACTACAGAGTCGGGAAACAATATCTTTACTCGAATTTACTGTAGTTTTTCTGTTCATATCGATTTTCTCGATCGACCTACCTGTAATTGTAGCTATTTACAGATATTTTTCTCTCTTGGACTCCCTGCGTCTGCTGCCTCGCGTGAAGAATATCCTCGTGTGTCGGGATGTAATGGGGCTGGGATAATCGTTCAAGATTCTCGAAAAAGCTGAATAACAACAAAAAGAATAAAAAATCGGCGACTGGTACAGTTAGGCGATTTAATGTCAGAAATGGAGCGGTTTTCATTTGAGTGTCCAAAAGTAACTGGTTTTGCACTACTACGCTACCCGATTGGCTTAAAAAACTCGCGCCAATTTTTCATCCAATCACGGAAGTAAAACCAAAATCGATCGTAACTCGTTCTCACACGTTTTACCGCGCTTTGCGTCGGCTACATGTAATTGTGTAAACTTCGAGTTTTGATTGGCTCACTGTAATGTTGATGGCCTTTGTGATTGGCTAGAGTGATTATTTTGGTTTTGGTGTTACGCCACTCAACTGAAAACAACTGCTCTAAATCAGATTTTCTGACAATATGATAACAATTAACTGTAATGATTTTCCTTACTATTTAGCAGAATCGTCGATGTAAAACAGATTTCTTTGATCGAAGCAGGTCTGCACTGAAGCATCATTCCAAAACGTTTTTATCAGTGGAATTCTGTCTTTGAGCGAAAAGTTGTTGTTTTCACTGTCCTCGGAGTCAGCGTGTTCTAATAATTCCTTGCTGAGTTCCTAGGTGAACAAGCAAAAGCATATTGTCTTCAACATTGTAATTTCAAAATATTTCTTAAGATAAATCTTCACAGGCTAAACGGATTAGCCTAAAGACGTAAGTTTCTAGCGTCCGTCGCCTCCCGGCTTCATCTAGCCGGAAGTAGGTCTTAGTAGCGCGCACTTGCATTGACTTGCGATAAATTGCGTTCACTGACTTGATCGATCAAGTGAACATGAGAACGAGGTCACCATGAAGTATACGAATATTTTTTTTTGCTGTCGAAGTGACCAGAGTAGTTAGAATAACGGGTTAAGAGAAAATGTGGAGGGATCAGCCTAGCTTAGCGGTAATTTCTTACGAGTTTTGGCCATGGTAAATATGACCTATAGGTATTTGAAAGGGAATTTTTCTATACGCCATAATTAACATTTATTCTGTAATACAAAAGAAAATGGATTTTCAAAACCAAGAAGAGAGGGAACGTCAGGTGACAGGAGAGGTTTCTCTATGCAATCTTAGGAATTTTACATACCCCTGTTTTAAGTTCTTCGTTTTCAAAGGTGAGTCCTATCTCATCCATTGCTTCAAGAATACGAATCATTGCCCTTCTCACATTACTGTAGATTATTGGTTTGAATTCTCTTCTCTCTTTTTCCTTGAAGCCGTCACCATACACAATTCGCAATTGTTTGAGAAACGTTGTCTTTCCAGAGCAGCCAGATCCTAAGGGACAAAACAACAAAAATAACACGGTTATGAGCGACGAAACAACTTTGAAAAAAGCCGTTTTTATAATCTAAAATGCAGGAATTTATATTAAGGCTCGGGGGATACTCCCAGAAAAGTTGGGTGGGGGTGTGCGGCCCACTTCCCAAAACCCTTACCCTATTTATGACCAAAATCTACGAGTTTTGCTACCCTATTTATGACCTGGCCAAAAATTCGATACCCTGTTTGTGACCTTTGTGGCTGGAACAGTTGCCCTAAACGTCAGTTATGAAGGGCTTTTGCTGACGGTCTTATTGACAATGATGAATAAGCAGCTTCTTCTAAGAAACATACCCAATTCAAGACTATAGTGCAAAACCATACCCTGTGTAAGACCAAAATGGCCAAAATCGATACCCCATTTATGACCAAAACGGCTGAAAAACCATACCCTTTGGGGCTGCACATACCCATATAGCCCATATAAAGGAGTACCCCCCGGGTATTAAGGGAAAAAATGCACGTGCTTGATTATGTAAATCCTTAGAGGTCACATTTCACGTTATCTTGTCTGATTTTGGTTGTACGCAAAGATTTTAGTTTTATCTCAAGTTACGTGGACGTCCGGCACGATTATCCAAGGTACCGTTCACACTACGCCGACAGGAATTTGTAAACGGATGTTTAACTCTGAAAATGCATCAAATGTTTTCCGTCCACACTACGCCGGAGGAATTTGAAAACGTAACAATCATCGATCATTTTGGATTTGTGGTTGAGGAAAACTTTGGCAGGGAAAACACATTATTAATGTGGCGTCATCGTTTTTCAAAAGCTTTGTTTTCAAAATGTTTTCCTTCCGTACTAAAACGCAAAGCCAGCGTTTTCAAATTTTCTGTTTTGGAAAGCGTTTTCGAAAAGCTCCGTTTTCGTGACAGATTAGTGTGGACGGTAGGCCTAAGCTGCGTTTTCAAATTTCTCCGGCATAGTGTGGGCCCTTCTTAAAAATCAAAACACCATTAATATATATTTAAGAGTTTTGTGATTGGCTGTAAGAACATGTGCAAACGTGCGCTAGCCAATCCGTGCAAAACATACAAAAACAAAACAAGTCGTGCGTACTTTTTTTCCCGCGCTTGACCTGCCTGGTTAACGCTGTCAGTTTGAGTGTCTTTCTGTGAAATGCTAAGGGGTGGTTACCTTTCACCCGCTTTGAATTACATGTAGTTCTATTGACTGATCATGAAACAAGACCGTGTGACAATGTTGCAGAACAGAAAGCAACAATTTTTATATTCTCCAAACAGAACAAAGTCTTACTAACATTGTATGATAGATAACTCATTTTCGCTTTAATTACATGCTGAAATTGGCTTTCACAGAAAATGCACTTTAACGACTTTAGTATTAGCTATCTCACTCAACACTCTTCGTAGAAAAATATTAATGTCAATTAGATTAGTTTCCTTCACTTGCCCAAAATAATGCGTTAAAAAGAAACTATTTCACTGACTAGCTCTTTCACTTTGCAAGGAAAAAATATAGCATAAGTTTGTCTTGTTACGTTATTCTTCAAGCGTACAATATCGCAATCGAGCAGCTGATCTTTAAATCAATTTTAACTTCAACAACAATTATTTCTTTACGTAAAAGTTGTGTACAGTTGAATTTCCTGATCAAAAGAGCCGCACCGAGCTAGAGGGAGGGCATAATCGGCTAAGGTGGTGGGGAGGGGTGGAGGAATACATAGGAAAAGTTCCTGAGATAGAAAAACAGAAAAACTATCCCACATATAAAAAGGTTTAAGATCAAATAGAGCAAAAATGTAAACGTTTTTATCAGGTAATATAATAAATGAATTTTAATGTTTCGCCGGATGCCGCTTATGCATGGTCTATTCCGTGTTTTTCAAATCTCTCTGTGGTTTTGAGGCGATCATTAATTTAAAATCCCAGATGTCGCATCGGTGAAAATTTCCATTTAAACTATTTCTGATTTTTTGCTTAAATGGAAAAATAGATTTAATTCATTGTGAATGATTAAATTGAAAAATTTAGTCCAATTTTTTTTGACAACGTCAGTAAAAAAAGGTCATTTAAAACTTGGATGTATGATATTAAGTGAGGTTTTGATTTTTCAGTATACGATCCTCAATTTAATTTGCCTTGAAATACTATTTGTTTATCGAGTAAAAGCGCTTTTTTCCGTTTCATTTCAATTTCAATAATGCTTTTGAAAGGATTATACTTAGCATAAATCTTTTTATTGATTAGAATGGTTCTTCGATGAATTGAAAACCGTACAATGCCTCAATATGTAATCAGCGACTTGTCACGAATAACCAACTCTTCGAAACAGTCATTTATAAAACATCTGATCATAGCGTGGAATTTGATTTTTGAGAGCGGTTTGTTTGCTATGAAATTTTTGGGTTGTTGTTTACTCAAGGGCGCATAAAGGGAATATTAAAAACGTTGTGGATAGACAAGCTGCCCTTGTGATTTCAGCCATGGTCTGTTGTTTTTATAATGGTGGTGTTTTCATTTGCTGATATCGCAAAACGCGAACAAGGGTTGTAGTTAAACAGCGCTGAAAATAAGAAGATAAAATATTTATCCCGCCCAGTAGTGGGCCAAAGGGGCAACTGAGGAATTTACGAGACTTGAGGCATGCTTACCTAAAATCAACAGCTGGACTTCTTTTTCTTTCAGCTCTCTTTCCTCGTCCAATAGCGCATCAATGTCTCGACTTCGCTTAAACGCAGCCTTCAGTTCGCTTGGTTTTAGGTTGGAGTCGGCTCTTTGCAGTTCTTCAGCCATGTTCAGCGGCGAGGAAATTGGAAATCACACCTTCAACTGTGTATCCATCGCAAGTTGTTGTCAGTCTGCCAGAGACCCAAACGATCGGCTTACAGTACTCAGATAGTCACAGGAGCTATTAACAAAATTGACTCCGAAGTACCCTCACAAAGTAAAAAGCAAAAGAAGGGCCACTTGCTTGACTTAAAAGTAGATCGAAATACGAAGCAATAGCAACAATTAAGCACGTTTCGAGTTCGATTTTAGCGTTATTAATTCATTACTTGGACGAAAAGCGACAATGTTTAGTAGAAATTTGAATAACAAAGTCACCCGGATTCGAGAGCTCCAATCAACGTTTAGATGCGATAAATGGTAGGTTTTGTCTCTTTTATGGACAAGCCGAAATTCATTAACAAGTGTTTACAAAAGAAGGTGGCGTTTCCTTTGCACGGTCGAAAAAGCTTTTTAAATGTTGTAGGGCAGTGGGAACAATTTTTACTTCGATCGAAAACTGTCAAAAATATTTACAATTTGCTCCACGTCACTTACTGTGCAGAGTATTAACCAGTCTTCACCTACTAATAACCGACCATATATCAATCAATTGGCTTTGTGCCACTGACGCATGGGTAATTTATGGTAACTACCAGGTACTTTTGTATTTCATATGTCCAGAACATTTCCAGCAGACTGCAAGCACAAAGTAAGCCATTTGTGAACTACAGGTAAAAGGAACCCATTCAACTTCTTACGTACGACTAGTTAACTTCCTAGTGCAAGGTGAATTTGTAAAACATTTCTTTTTCCGTTGACTCAGCACCAAATTTATATTAAAAAAGTATAATAATAATAATAATAATAATAATAATAATAATAATAATAATAAGTGAATTACATTAATGAGAGTTTTCGAGCGGCAATATTTATGCTTCTCGATCATTTCTTAGTTTTAAAGTAAGAAAATTGACTTGACAGAACCGCTGTTTTCAATAATAATAGAAACTGATGATGGCTTCGTTTGTACCTTTGATAATTGTTGTTTAGTTCAATTCAGAGCAGACACTAAACATCACTTTCATATATTGCTGGCCAAGTAGCGCAGGTGTTGAGTTGGTTTGAATTAATAAAAACTAAATTCTAGACCTATTCGATTGATCTTTTCTCAAATTAACAACGTCGATGTTTTAAAACATTACGAGAGCAACTGACAACAATACTGAACTTTGTTGACTTATTGCATTCTTCATTTGCTCCTTGTGATGACTCAGTATGTAGTGAAACTTTAGTTTTGAACAGTGGGTGCATGAATAGATAGCAAGTCTTTAAAATCAGAGATTGCAATACGTGTCATTTCCTGTTTATGTTTTAGGGTTATTTTTGCATCTCTCACGTACACATTCTTGCAAACAGTGCTTGCAGGTATGTTTTTAGATATATAATGAGTTTCCATGTCCGCATTGAACGAAGTTTGCAATTACATTTATGAGACTAAAGGTGTCCAGGGAGAAATAAATAAAGATTCCTCGAGACTTAAGCTTTAATAGTTTTTCCTTTTTGCTTTGCTGTTGATGTTGCTAGTTTTATTGCCGTTTTCAAGTTTGGATTCATCCTTGAACTGAAATAAATAACGGAAACTGTCACCTTGCACAGGAAGGTTTTTTCTTCCCCCCAATTTAGCACTGATCTCTCCGTTAGGTCACGTACACTGAGTATGTACTCAGTACTGAAATCTGTATATTTTGAGTATAGTTGTTACTGACTAAGCGGAGCACCAAGCGGTAGAAATGAGAGGAAGCTTAGTCGAACCCAGAAAAGGCTATGAAAAATAGCCGTCATTAAACATTGTAATAATCATATTCTCATATCTTTGTCTGAGAGCATATTAATGATACAGCTACCACGCTGACGTCGACGTTTGATGCCATATCCGCAAAGCGTACGGTTGATATCATTTCTACAGATAACAATAATTTTACAAGACTCTAAATGCATTCATTTTGTCTGTTGGTGGCTGTCGGTGTCAAAACTTACCTCAGCTCAAGTTGTTGTATAAGAAAATAACGTTCAATGGCATGTTTCCGGATTCAAAAACTCCTAATTCAATCAGGATTTCCACGTTGTTGTGGTTTAAACAGCTAAGAATTCACCAAGGTGCACGAATACCTTGCCGGAAGCGCAAATAATCGCAAGTTGAATTTGCGCACAGACTTAAGTGACAAAACGGACTCGCAAGTTTGCTCGCAAGCGCATGCAGGCTGAAAGAAAACGCATTGCAATGCTTACGAATGACTTGCGATTAGCTTGCGTTGGGTGGCCAAATGGGGGAAAACTTGCGCCGGCTTGCGTTCAAATTTGGTAAGTCGTGGCCAAATGGAGTCTCAGAAAAAGACAAGTTCAAACTTCGTCTCTGTTTATTTATATTCAACTGAGGCTTCTTGTACTGTACGATTGCTCAAGTGCGGAAGTAATAATAATGTAATAACGATGTATTTACATTGCCGACCACGTGTCAGGAAAACGGAGGCTCTGGGGACAAGAATGCGATAAGAGCATGCTAAAACTGTCTCTCGCGCATGCGACGACGGATATAGGTGCGCCCGCGAAGTATACGAATTAACAAATGGTAAAAGCCATAGCGTGCACTATTGAGTTATGGATGCACGCGGGAGGTTGCTAAGCACGAAAGAAGCGTAAGAGTCGCACGAGGCGATAGCCGAGTGCGACTCGAGCTTCCTGAGTGCTTAGCAAACCTCCCGCGTGCATTCATAAGTCAATAGTGTACGCTATGGCGTTTACCATTTGTTTTATAACATAACATCGAGACATTGGAACAACAGAAGTCCTTTTTTTGGGCTACATCACAAAAAAATGTTCGTGTGGTCTTACACGACAAGAGAAGACAAGCGCGCGAAAATTCATTCATAACAACCGACTGCACACCAGTAACTCGATAAAGTTTCATCTTCAGANTATTGAGCTACATCACAAAAAAATGTTCGTGTAGTCTTACATGCCAAGAGAAAACAAGCGTGCGAAAATTCATTCATGACAACCGACTGCACACCAGTAACTCGATAAAGTTTCATCTTCGGACAACTACGAAGACAGTTTCGCATTTCTGGCAGAAGGACGTTGGCCATGACTTTGGAAACAATGTCTGTCAAAAGATTTGCTTTGTAAACATTAGCACACACGCCAGCAGCGTACACCCATGGGCAAATGGTAGACGCTAAATTAACCAATCAGAGCCCGCGCTTTGCTTTAGTTATGTTATAAAACTCGATGGAAACACAGAACTATCACGAGCTGTTGACGTAATGATGGCGCGAGCAAAGAGAATTTACATTTTGGTAATCAAAGTTAACAAGTTGTTTTCCTTTTTTTTGTCGCGGTGTTTTCTAAAAGAAATAGAAAACATGTCCTCCGTGTTTCTACTGAGTTATAGAAACACTCGTGAAAGTTTGGGAGAGCTCGAAAAAGGTGTGGAAACACTCGCCTGCGGCTCGTGTTCCCACAGCATTTCTCGTTCTCCCAAACTTCCACTCGTGTTTCTATTTAACAATTAGATTATGAGCTCGAGATTTCTATCGCGTGARAGTTGCCGAGGGCGCAGCCCGAGTCAACTATCACGCATAGAAATCGAGAGCAAATAATCTAATTGTTTTAGTATAAATCTACTAGTCGTTCAAAACTTTCAACTAAATCCTCTTCACAGACACTTTGAAAACACAAAGAAGCGGCCGCCAGCGCACGCTGCTACGCTGCTCACTATCTATCACGGAATAGAACGTGAGTAACGTAGCCAATCAGAGAACGGCATCCGTGATAGAATGCTAGTAGATTTATACTAAAACTCGATAGAAACACGGTACATGTTTTCTATTTCTTAATTAATAACGTAAAGTTGGTACGGCAATTAACTGCTGTGGCCAATTTGGAAAGCGGAGTTTACTCAAACGGTCAGTTTACCAAACTCATCAGAAACTGTTAAGGAGGCATATTTTATTACACAGGCACGAGTGTTTTACTGGAAAATACACCACTCATGGAATTCATACGAAACCACATTCCATATCCTCACTAATGAAGATATCGACAACTTCACTGACACAGTCGAACCTCCGGCTGCGACCACCTCTCCTCAGCGACCAGGTTTTTAAAATACCAAAAGTTTCCCAGTCAAATCTCTCTATTTGGAACCTTTTCAGTGTAAGCGACCACCTCTTGTAAGCGACCGCGACCACTTTTAGAGCTAAAGGGTTGAAGGTTTCTTTTGTTCTCAACCTCCCATAAGCGACCACTTGACAGATAATAGAGACAGAATTGGATAATAAGGTGTTGTAACTTTATCGTATTCCTGGTTAGTACAAGAGACGAAAATTTGTCAATGGGAAGAACTGGATTTTTTTCTGGAAATTGACTTTCCACACGATTAAAACATTGCATCGGCATTGGCGCATGGGGCAAGTCTCTGCAGTTACTTTATGCTAATGAGGCAAAATTTTGACTTAATGTGGTCAAAACTCTCCAAAGCGACCACCTCTCGTAAGCGCTTACGGGAGGTTCGACTGTATCATGTTTGAGCCTTAAGAGTCCCTGTTCATAAATATGGAAAATAACTCGGCAAGGGTCGAAAATTCGATTTCGCTCATATTTTTACGGTAGGTAGGCTAGGGCATGACAAAAACTACAGGATAGT